AAATGACCCATTGAGGTTGATATGCTGTAAACCAAACGAAACCAATTACAACCTTTCTTACCTCAGTAAAAGAATGCTACTTTGAGCCACAGGATTTTCTTCATGGGTGAAGAAGGCAATTCATTGTAAGTTATGATGTAGATTTTTTATCCTTTTGATTTATGAGCCCCCAACATATTCTTGCTTTTAAGATCAACCCACCAATCTGGCTATTTCGTCATATTTCTAGAAATAGGGTGATCCAAGAAACTTTCAGCACTTTAAAGTGCATGTGTATATCTTGATTTGTACACTATTTGGAAATCTTTCATTGTTTCCTGAGTTGTCTTGATTAACTTCCGTGTGCACAATTTTGAAATCTCTCATGAGATACGTTGTCAAAAAGTGTAAAGTGGGGGAGTAAAGCCTCCTCGATACACACACACACTTAGAAATACTTCCCTACAGCCATTTAATTGGTTCCAAAAACCATGCTGCAACCTAGTTTTTGACATTTTTTTTTACATAAACTGGATATTATTATCATCATCATCCTCTTGGTTTTTGTCATCGTAATGTGGATATAAATCCAGAAAGCCACACAAACTCTTTTCCACAATGGTCTATTAACGACAACCATTAGCAATTCTGGTGCAGTCATACTTGTCCATTTTTTGCTATTGCCCAACCAGTTTTTGCATTGGCACTCTTTTCCTATGTCTACCTTCAATGTTGCCTTGCATGATGGTCTTACACAGGCTATTGCGTCAACAGTGCCTTGCATGATGGTCTTACACAGGCTATTGCGTCAACAGTGCCTTGCATGATGGTCTTACAGGCTATTGCGTCAACAGTGCCTTGCATGGTGGTCTTACACAGGCTATTGCATCAACAGTGCCTTGCATGGTGGTCTTACACAGGCTATTGCGTCAACAGTGCCTTGCATGATGGTCTTACACAGGCTATTGCGTCAACAGTGCCTTGCATGATGGTCTTACACAGGCTATTGCGTCAACAGTGCCTTGCATGATGGTCTTACACAGGCTATTGCGTCAACAGTGCCATGCATGATGGTCTTACACAGGCTATTGCGTCAACAGTGCCATGCATGATGGTCTTACACAGGCTATTGCGTCAACAGTGCCTTGCATGATGGTCTTACACAGGCTATTGCGTCAACAGTGCCTTGCATGATGGTCTTACACAGGCTATTGCGTCAACAGTGCCTTGCATGATGGTCTTACACAGGCTATTGCGTCAACAGTGCCTTGCATGATGGTCTTACACAGGCTATTGCGTCAACAGTGCCTTGCATGATGGTCTTACACAGGCTATTGCGTCAACAGTGCCTTGCATGATGGTCTTACACAGGCTATTGCGTCAACAGTGCCTTGCATGATGGTCTTACACAGGCTATTGCGTCAACAGTGCCTTGCATGATGGTCTTACACAGGCTATTGCGTCAACAGTGCCTTGCATGATGGTCTTACACAGGCTATTGCGTCAACAGTGCCTTGCATGATGGTCTTACACAGGCTATTGCGTCAACAGTGCCTTGCATGATGGTCTTACACAGGCTATTGCGTCAACAGTGCCTTGCATGATGGTCTTACACAGGCTATTGCGTCAACAGTGCCTTGCATGATGGTCTTACACAGGCTATTGTGTCTTGTAATGTGTCCAAATCACAGTATTTTTCTCCATTTGATAGAGACAAGAAGTAGTTCCTGATATCCTACAAAACTTTCTACCCTTTTCTGCACAAACTCATTGTTTTTTTCCCCCCAATAGAAAATACCAAGGAGTTTTCTCATGCATTTTTTTCTTAAATGCGTGGATCATTCTCTCTGTATCTGCCAACACTGTCCATGTTTCACATCCATATAGGAGAATGGAGACAAAAGTGATTTGTATGCTTTGTACTAAACTGGTTATAATAACTTTAAAAATGTCTTAAAATAGGGCAAACACAGTAAAACTTGTGTAAATAACTTACAAAATATAACAATTGCTAAATATGATAAACCACTAAAAACACAATTTAGTCATATTTATGACTAAAATGGGTAATGAAAACAAAATTCTATTATTTACTTCATGATTTACCCTGAAAAATACCTTAAGTCTGATGACTAATACCTTGCAATTGGTGTAAAATATATGCAGATGAATATAACTTGCAAAAAATTTGAAAATGTCTTTTATCTTTAATTGTTCATTTTTATGTATTTTAATATATTTTTAAGGAAAAATGTGATGTTAAGTGATGCAACATATAACGTAATTGCATTTGCTGAACTGAAATTTACTGTAGAAAAATGATGTAAAGGCAAATTTGACATAGGTTAAAATTACTTAAAGCAGGGTATTACTGTAAATTCTGAACTTTTTGCACTGTTAAATCTCCAAGTTTAATCAGTTGATTTCCTTAACAACTCTAGAATAGGCTTGCATTGATAGATTTTGTTAATCTGTTTGAACCAGGGTGATTTTGTTTGTTTTTTTATTTATTTATTTTGGGCTGGATCTGTTGTAAGAGTAAAAGATGTTTCTCAGGCAACAAATTTGTAACATACATACTTTGCACACTTCCCCCAATGTATGTTGATTCAACTGTCACATGTTGTATCACCTATAGATACATTAATAGTTCATACTTATTTTGTTTGTGTACGGTGCTTTCAGGATTGCTTCAGAAGAATTTTCTCTGTAAGGAATACTGAAATTGACATAAATAAAGACAAAGAATATATAAGAATGTAACTGTAAAAGAACAATATGAATAAAGACAATAGGAAAACTTATCTTAGCTGACATTTTTCCTCCTCTGAGTGTCTTTATCAGAGCAACTACCTTAGAGGACAAAAGGTATTGGCTGAGATAAGTTTTCCTTTTGTCTTTATTCATATTGTCTTTTTATAAATATATTCTATCTGAAACTTTACAAATTGACATTATGTAGATCTGATTTGTTCAAAATACACCAACCTGCATGTATGTTTTAGTAAATATCGTAGAGAAGAAATATTTTGTAAGTTTTTTTTACTCCAGTTTCTGTTTTCTTTTATGGGAACTAAGAACTACAGAAGGTAGTAAAGGAAAGCAAGAAGAAAGGACTAAACATCAAAAAGATACAATATATGGTTGTTAGCAAAAGGGGACAGCCCAACAGGCAAATTACAAATTGGAGATAGTAAAAGCAAATAAGTATGACAATACAAAGTCTAGGAAGTGTTTTAAAAGAGGATAGAAAGTGCAACATTTGAAATCCAAAGGAACATTGGAATAGCAAAAGATGCCTTCCAAAAGCTAAACAATGTATTAAGAAACTGGAAAATTTTGTTAGAAATTGGGGACATCAAAATCAAGAAGTACTGAAATTTATATGTCTGGAAAGTTTTATAACAGACAATGGAAAATGTGACATAGAAATTCAAAGGTGCATTGGAATAGCAAAAGATGCCTTTCAAAAGCTAAACAATATATTAAGAAGCAGAAAAAATTTTGGTAAAAGCAAATAAAAGTATTGAATTATTATGTAACATCAGTTCTACATGGCAGTGAAAACTGGACAATCTTCTTACAGATGGAGAGATTTGAAGCGACAAAAATGTGGTTCTACATAAAGATACTGAGAATTCTATGGACCAAACATGTGAGCAATGACAGTTTTAGAGAAAATGGAAACTAAAAGGACACTTACACTTAAAATCGGGAAGAGAAGATGGAGAATTCTTGGGCACAAAAAAGGCTTGGAAAATTTGATACTGACAGGGTAGATTGAAGACAAGAGGAAAACAGCGTAGCAAGCTTGAATAAATGGATTGCAAAACAAAGTTTAGGTGAGATAGCAAAAGGATAAAATTTATTAAGAGCTACAAAGGACAGGAAATTGTGAAGAGCTATGATTGCCAACATTACTAAGGGACATTGAACAAGAAAAAAAATAAGAATATTAGAAAAACTGAATAAAAACTTGTCACATTTGCCTTCATCACATTCAATGAAAAATGTAAAGAAAATTTGCTGCCTAAGCAGTGTATGTATACACCCCCCCACATGCTATATATACACACATACACTACCTATATATATATATATATATATATATATATATATATATATATATATATATGGTAGCTGTCAAGTTGCAAAGTCAGTATGACCATCACTGAGATGTCCAGCCCTTCACTTAAACTCCCCCTCCCCACAACAGTGCATTCATCGGTTGTATAAACAACAGTGGCTCACAAAGCCAGACATCAATCTGCATTTCTTGTCACTTATGAGGAATATCAAATCAGCTACAGGTGGTGGAAGGAGACTTTGACCATCATCACTTCCAGTGTGCATTTTTATATATATATATATATATATATATTCCCATCTGCTGGGGCAGTTGGCTAATCCCCATTGCTGATGCCCATTCAGATGTATTTTGTTCAACATTCAGAGAGCCCTCCTGTGGTTTATACTACAACTATGCTGAGTAGACCTTAGTTACAGCTTCTGGGAGAGAGCATTTTATCTAGTGTGACCAACAATATGAATGAGGCCAGCATACTCAAACCCTTGGTCTTGTGACATCGTGCTAGCACAGCCATCGACTGCCCCCAGTTTCACTCACAATGATTAGGTTAAGACATGGTTTGGTTTTCTGGCACTTTGCATTAACCTCCTACAAACCAATAACAAGAAGTTGTCACCTTCCTGACATTTCAACCATATCCACAAAAAAAATTTGCTCTAAACTGCTGGGAAGTTTTTTTTGCTTTAGGCAAATCCTCTATATTATAATTCTGCTTATCTTTCTCTTTGCTAGTTAGTTCCTATGATTGTTATTCCCTTTTGGCCTGGTTTGAAAAGATGGAAATGACAGAGACGGTTTCAATAAAAGAAGGGAAGTTAGAATTGTTTTATACCCGTTTCAGTGAAATGGAAAAAAATTGTCAATTACAGATCTTTGTATTGTACGACCTTACTGCAGTGTTTCTCATCCTCTGTACCCATTTTTCTTACAGTCAGACTTTGTACTTTTCCCCGTGTCTGTCCGTCTTCGTTATTTTACCGCCGTGTCTGTCCGTCTTCGTTATTTTACCGCCGTGTCTGTCCGTCTCCGTTATTTTACCGCCCGTGTCTGTCCGTCTCCGTAATTCCCCCCCCTCGTGTCTGTCCGTCTTCGTATTCCCCCCCCCCCTCGTGTCTGTCCGTTTTCGTAATTTCCCCCCCTCGTGTCTGTCCGTCTTCGTAATTTCCCCCCCCTCGTGTCTGTCCGTCTTCGTAATTTCCCCCCCCTCGTGTCTGTCCGTCTTCGTAATTTCCCCCGTGTCTGTCCGTCTTCGTAATCCCCCCCGTGTCTGTCCGTCTCCGTAATTTCCCCCCATCGTGTCTGTCCGTCTTCGTAATTCCCCCCCCCTCGTGTCTGTCCGTCTTCGTAATTCCCCCCCCTCGTGTCTGTCCGTCTTCGTAATTCCCCCCCCCTCGTGTCTGTCCGTCTTCGTAATTCCCCCCCTCGTGTCTGTCCGTCTTCGTAATTTCACCCCCGTGTCTGTCTGTCTCCCTTTCTGTTTGTCTTCATATTTGACCCCATGTCTGTCTTCCTATTTCCCCTGTCCCGTCTGTCTGTATTTCTGTCTCTCACTTTATCTTACGTTCCTCTTTCGCACTTGCTTTACTCACTTCTTCTCTTTTTCTCGTTATCCTCCTTCTCGGAAATTTGAATTTAAGAATGGGAAATGAATGGCGTAAAAAGAAATGACGTAATAATCTGCAGTCTGTCTATCTGTGTGTGTCATGCGTGGGGCGGGTATGGAACATGTCTTAAGGACAGTGAGGTGATTTCAACGGAAATAAGTGGGATAAAAAAAAAATGTTGAATGAATCAGTCTATCTCACGTGCCATTTGTGTTCTTTTTTTTTTTTTTTCTTTATTCAGGTATTTTTTTTACCTTGTTTCAAAACAAAAACAAAAAAAAACTGTCCAGTCTTCCCCCAGTCAAATGTTGTCAGGAAAAAAGAAACTTAAAAAAGAAAAAAAAAAAAAAAATTAAGGAAAATCCGTAAATAGACGAAGAGCAGGTAGATTGGTTGGCTAAAACCCGAAATGGTAGGGGTATATTTACATTGGAGTCAGTCCGGTCAATTCGTAATGTTTAGGCAAGGGGTGAAGTGAGGTGTGGGTAATTAACTGTACTTCCCAGTGCCTCTGTGCCGCATTCCCCTTTTGCAGTTTGCCGTCAGAGGTTAAGCTAAAAAGTTTACCTGCAGAATAATCCTTCTACTACTGTTGTGTTTGTTCTCTTTCCCAAGTTTACAACCTGACCCTTCACGACAAAATCCGAACTCTTAATTCCGACAATAATCAACCGGTCTTGAACTCTCTTTATCAAATCTATTCTTCAAAAAAAAAAAAAAAAAAAAAAATCATGTCACCCGGCGGAACGTAAAAAGGACTCTCTTTTTATCAATTTGGGAGAAGAACCCGAGAGAAAAAGTACCTTTTTTTTTTTTTTTTCTTTTTTCAAAACCATATTTAAAATTTTCAGTGTTAGAAGAAGAAAAAAGGTTTAAATTTAAAATTATAAAACATTAAAAAAAAATGTCTTCACAAAGTTCAGAATAGTTGTTAGTCAATTTGTTGAATCTCGAATTAAAAACAAACTTGGTTGTGAGAAAAGCGAGTTGCCGCTAAGGTGAGAGTCATACCTGCAGCTAAAAGATCCCATGATTATTGCTTTCTTTTGATTTTAATAACTGATCGAAACAGTTGTCTTTATTTACTTTGTTTTGAATTTTTTTTTTGTATGGGAATCCATATTTTTTTTTATTTTTTACAATTTCGTAAGATTTGAAGGATAGATTTTTTTTTTTCACGTCCAAAGAAGGATATTTTAAAAAATTAAAAATCCATTTTTTTATAAAAAGGAAGAAAAAGAATGAAAAAAAAAAAAAATCTCTGGCCAATGCTGACTTCTTTTTATAGACAAGAGCCTTCAAATTTTCTTTTGTTTCAATTTTATATTTTTAAAAAAACCTTGGATTATCTGCAGGTATTGTCAGATAAAAATCAAGAAAATAATTTTATTTAATTCAAATTCCGCCAACTCTCCAGAAAAGTTAAAATGAAAAAGTGGGGTTGAAATAAAAAAAATCTTAAGTTCTTGTGATAAATTTCCAATAATTTTGTTATTTCCTTGGGAATTTGTTTTCTAAAAGATGTTTTATAAAATAACTCTCCCGCTAATTTTCTTCAAAATGACGATTATTCTTGGAATATTGTCAGGATTATGACTTAAAACATTTAAAAAGTAAAATAAAAAACGTATTGAAGAAAAGAAAACATTGCAAGAAGCTAAAAGAAAGTAATTCCTTATTATTTATGCTAGAAAAAAAAAAGAATTCACCAAAAAATCCATTATCGGTAATTCTAAAAAAAAAATTTCTACTTGCCAAATCTGATATTTTTTTTAACCCACATTATTCAGAATGCCGACGTTGATTGGTTTTGCTTCATTTGTTAAGTCGGATGGAACAATTAATTCCTTTTTTGAATGTCACTGCTGCCTCAGGAGCCAATTCTTTCTTGAAACAATTACACTGGAGACCAGAACACAACATTTACCAACTTAAACGGATTTTTCCTTTTCTGACGGATAACACAAAATTGGATTGATTGTTCCTTTGAGAAATTAACAGGGAGAAATGGTTTGCAAGCAAGCATTTCAAATGGGGAAATTGGTTCGTATTCAATTTTATGCTTTCATTCAAAATCTTTTCCTCCCTTCAACAGGACATAGTTTGATGGTTCATTTCGGAATGTGACTGTTGAAGAAGTAGGTTTTGATTGTGAATTGCAACAATTGGGACAAAAAATCTTTAGCGACGGTGGCCGTAAAAAACTTACATTGCCTTGCTGTCAGTAAACGTTTTCAAAACACCTTGAAATGTCGATTTCTACTTAATATTTAAATTTAAGCGTTTCACCCCAAGCAGGGCGGGAAGCCACTAGGATGCAAGGGGTTACAGGAAATAGCAAAATCAGATAGGAGTGATAGAAGGAAGGATGAGGGTAGTGAATAGATTAAGGCAACTGGAGATGTCGATTGACATTACATTTGAATAGCTGGAGATTTTAGTTCACAGGGAAGCAGGAGAAGGGAAGGGAGTTCCACAGGTGAGAGGTGCGAGACATGAAGCTATTAGAGTAGAAGAGACGGCTACATTTAGGAGTTTCGACAGTGAGGGGGTGAGAGCGGGATGCCAGCCTCATAGGGCGCTTGAACTCATGACGTCTGGGAACCAGTGAATGCAGCTCCACGGAGCAATTTCCATGAAAGTATTTGTAGAACAGACAGAGGGAGGCGACAGCGCGTCTGTGAAAAAGTGACTGTAGACGAGACGCCAGGGCCAACCATATTGCATATCCGCCTCTGGAGCCTATCAAGAACCCCGAGGCAAACAGAAGGGGCGCCAGACCATATATGGCAGCAATACTCCATGCAAGGGCGAATTGTGGATTTGTAAATCTGGAGGATCGACTCGAGAGAAAAACTTCCTAGCACGGCTCAGGGAGCCAACTTTCCTCGCAGTGGACGAGGCAATTGACTCGATGTATTTATTCCATCTCAGGTCAGCAATCAATGTGAGACCGAGAAGCCGCAGAGAGTTGCTCTCGATAAGTTGAGCGTCAGACATTCTAATGGAGGGAAGGGAAAGCTCTCTGTGGTGATTAATAGAGAGCAGTTTCGTCTTCGAAGCGTTGAAGTTGACCAGCCAATTCATGCCCCAGTTCACAATCGATTGGAGGTCCTTTTCGAGACGCACGATATTATAATTTACAAACTATTGCAGACAATAGGACTTGTTTTATTTGGTTTGGTTTGTTTTACCTCATACCAACCTCAATAGGTTATTTAATGCCGACAAGATTTTCATTGCTGGAAATATTTTTTTTTCAAAAATTCATTGCTGATATTAAAACCTATTTTTACACTTTCATACTGTTTTCCCCATAGTTGGGACCCTAACAGGTGCTACCACCCCGGGTCAGGGTGGACCTGAGGACACCAGCAATTAAGAGGTGGTTCCACGCTCCTCAAAACCTCCTGATCAGAGGCTTTGCTGTTGGATGTAGTTGTCATACTCGGGACAGGTTTTAGGTATTATTTTCATTAAATGGTATGTTGTGAGTATCGTTTACAGTGAACAAGGGAGAGTGCTGGATTTGCATATGGGCTTAGTATAGGCTGCAACCCAATGACTCTCACATGAGAGAGAGTCCCAAGGGCTCTTTTGTCTTGTGGCCCCTGATAAAACTAAGATTTTTTTAAAATGGATATTTGTTTATTTTCAGATTTAATGGGGCTCTTGAACAAATTTGAGACAATTTAGAAAGGTCTTTTAAATATTCGATCATGATTTTAATGTATTTTTTTTTTATATACATAGAATTTTTTGATGTAGCAACGTTATTGCAAGTCAGAATTTTTCTTTATCTTAACTAATGAATTTGAATTCTAGAATTTTGGTGCAATAAAGGCCAGTCATTCTAGATACATTTCTGTAGGATGTAACATTCTGATAAAAAAAAATATCAAAGTTGCTAATGAAATAAATTGGATAAGTTCTAAAATCCTTAAAAATTTTAATTAGTGTTTCATGTTTTACACCAAAAAAAGCATTATCTTTTTTTATACACACAGGAAGGGACATAGGTAATAACAGGTCCTCCAAATTCTATTAACCCAGGAGCCTCTTAAGGCATAAATCTAACCCTGCAAGGTGCTCATGTACACAATATATGCAGTCTGCCTAAGATTTTTTCCAGGATACATCTTGTCCTTGTGATATTTTTTAAGTTCCTATTTCTTTATTTCCTAGGATAAACTGTGAACAAGCAACATTAGTAGAGTTGTGTAAGCAGAAAATCCTGGAGGAAATTCTGTCATCCAGGTTTTTATTATATCAAAAATCTGAACGTCTGAATATAAATTAAAAAAAAAAAAGATAACATGGTTATGTCTGTTAGTGCTAAATAAATCATTTGTATTTGCAAACATGAATTCAAGAGAATCGAAAAAGAGTTAAAATAGTCTTTAGTTGTGTTAAAGTCTTTGGTTAGTTGGTACACAGAAAAAGTTGAGGTATAGAAAAAACTTATTGTTAGTAAAGATTAACTAATCATCTTTGTTGTTTGAGGAGGTTTGTTTAAAGTTGCTGACTGACCATGCCTGCTGTTGTTGTTGGAGATAATTTGTTTGAAGTTGCAAACACTTCTTTCAGCATGTGCTTTTAGAGAAGAAAAATGCTAAGCAACTACAGTGTGGAGATAGTCACATTTCTGCTCACTGAGAGTCAAAAATCTGAGTTT